GGTATGGGGGACTGGCGTGCAGGGCGCGGGGCTAAGGCCGTAGCGGTGGAGAGCAGGAGGGCGGGAGTGGGATGGCCCCGGCCATCATCTCAGGATCAGAGAATGGGAGTCTACTGGCGAGAGAAGACAATCCACGAGTGAGAACATATGTAATACCTTCATCAATAAAGAAAGAAGAAAAAAAAGTACAAATTGACAATTACAAAATAGTCATGAGATAAAATAAAGTACATCATAAGAAATATAGTCAATAATATTGTAACAGCTATGTTGTACACCTGACACTAATAGAATATTGTATGTCAACTGTAATTAAAATATTAAAAATTAAGTTAAAAACTAAAAAAAAAAAAAAGACAAACCATGAGTAATACAGTTTTCCTCTAAGTACAAGTGAAGGCTACTGCCTGGCCACCCTGCTTAATAGCCTCAGTCTCCTCGCCAGTAAAAGGGGAATATAATGGCCTAGCTGCCTTTGGTTTCGGAAAGGGTTTTAAAAGCTAGTACTACAGCTGTGTGGCTCTAAATAGTAGTAGGAGTTTAATAAATGCCGATTGAGCATTAGTAATATTGACATTTTTGCCACCACTTATGTTACAATTCATTGGGCCTCTTAGAGATTGTGAGTTCCAGGCTTCTTGCATTTTGGGAGTAAGTGGGATATTTTAATATCAATTTGGGGGGGCATATTTAAGCATTAAAATTTACCAAACCAATGATACAAAAATTGTAGCATACTGTAGTTTAAGTGTTTGTATCTCCCAAATTAATGCTTTTAATAAAAATAAATACTGCTTACTTAAAAATATGAGTACGTAACAGGCCTCTGGTCTGATGGGAACACAAGTTCAATGGTGTCAAGTCCTATAATATTATCCTTGGACCTCTGTGACTGTGTGTAAGCCCCACCAAATGGTACCACCTGCCTCACCAATAGGCATTTGCTCTCTTGCAAATAGTTCACTCTGTGCCCCTCATACAGGGTTTCTCAATCACAGCACTGTCGGTTCTGTGCGGGCCATGGGTTGGGGGTGGGGGGGGGGCCATCTATCCTGTGCCTTCTAGGATGCTTACAGCATCTCTGGTCTCTACCTCCTAGAGGCCAGGAGCAGCGCCCCACACCCTGGTCATCACAATCAAAAATATCACCAGGTATTTCCAAATGTCCGGGAGGGGGGAAGGCAAAATCACCCTTAGTCGAGAACCGCTGTCCTAACTCTGTTGTAACCTTGCCAGCAGGATCCCATATCACACACCTCTGTGTCACCCTCCACACAAACACAGGGCCCTGTACCCAGCACACATGCACGTTTATGCAATAAACTTGTGCCAGATACGGCATGCAGGAGTACGTCATGAGAGAACAGGCTGCATCCTGTAATTCATTTAATTATCAGAAGCTTCATTACCAGCAATAGGATTACTGGGAGACTGGATGGGGCGAACGCCGGTTATTTAGGGCCCTCTATATGCCACGCGCGTGTTAAGTGATCTTCATGGGCCATTTCATGTTACCTCGCACCGCAGTCCTATGACAGGTTAGGAAACGGAGTCATGAGAGTCCCGGGCACGTGCCCAGAAGAGTAGGAATTTGAACCCAGGCCTTTCATGGTTCTGCTCAACCACATCTCCAATGTCACGCCAAGGGCTTGTTGGGAATCAGTTGTTTCCCAGAGAGTGTTTCTAAACAGAATGGCTTCACCTCTGAAACATCAAAAGTTGACATGGGTACATCATTTGGGGCCAAAATGTGATGCAAAAGTATTGCGCATGTCCTGCCTCTCAGAGCACGCTTCATGTTAAAACAGAATGTCATTATTGGCAAAGTATTCATGTGTCAAGAACTCTTTTTTTTTTACTTTATTTTAAATTTTATTTCCCAATTACAGTTCCCTTTCAATATTATTTTGCATTAGTTTCAGGTGTACAGCATAGTTTACAAAATGTTTCTCCCAATATTTCCAGTACCCACCTGACACCATACATAGTTATTACAATATTATTGACTGTGTCCCCTATGCTGTACTTTGCATCCTCATCACAATTTTCTAACTACCAATTTGTGTGTCCTAACTCTGCAAAACTGGGGTTTTTCAAAGTAAATGCCTTTAAAAAATTCCTTCTCTCATCTCTCATCTATCTCTCCATGGTGTCTTTTGGGGAAGAGGTAGCACTGACATTGTTTCAAATACAGTGGGGCCTTGACTTACGAGTGTCCCGACTAACGAGTTTTTCGAGATACGAGCCGTCTCTAGGCTGATTTTTTGCTTTGAGTTGTGAGCTAAAATTCGGGTTACGAGCCAGCTTCAGATACCCCACCGCTAGTTGGCGCAGCGAACGTCACAGTGAACGCCACAACATCAGCCCAGCATCACGTGTCTCACTCGTTCACTGTTGATTTGACATACGAGTAATTTGAGTTACAAGCTCCGTCAGGGAACGAATTAAACTCATAAGTCAAGGCCCCACTTTACTTTAAGGTCATTGTGATGAAGATGAGCTATTGCAGGTCAAAGACCTGACCCCAGTTATAGATGATGAAGATGAGCTATTGCAGGTCAAAGACCTGACCCTCAGTGTTCTCAGGAGAGAAATGGCTGGAATAGTCAGTACATCCCCCGCCTCCCACAGAGGGTTATGGAGCATCAGGGTGGGCAAGCCCTGGGAAAGCCCTTTGCAGGTGGTAGAGCTCTGCAGAAGCTTCGGGGAGGGGGGCTCTTCTTTGTGTTCGTTGTGGAGACACCACAGACGTGAACCCCAGTTATAGGGAAGGGACCTGGCTTTCCATTCTCCTGTCCCACTTCCCCCTCGGCACTCTCCAGCTGAGGTCCCCGAACCTCCTGTTGGTTAGCAAGGAACGCTGGGGAGCCCCCCTCCAGACTTCTGTGACCAAAAAGGAATTTTTCCGTGACGCTTCTGCCCAATCTTGCTCCCCAAAGCCATTGCCAGTCTCACAAGATACTTTTTAAAATATATTTTATTGATTTTTTACAGAGAGGGGTAGAGAGTTAGAAACATCGATGAGAGAGAAACATCGATCAGCTGCTTCCTGCTGGGGATGTGTCCACAACCAAGGTACATGCCCTTGACCAGAATCGAACCTGGGACCCTTTAGTCCACAGGCCAACGCTCTATCCACTGAGCCAAACCGGTAGGGCTGTCTCACAAGATATTAAGGTAACATTAAAGCAATACACCACAAGTCAACATTTTTAAAGCTACAGTATAAGAAATAAGGGACTTTCTTTTCTAGTGCCTGCAGATTAAAAGAAAAAGAGAGGAAGAGCCCAGTGGGGGGATCATTATTTGCTAACACGTTGGAAAATCACGTTCCTTTCCCATTTCAGTGATGCTACAGGCAGGGGGCGGAAGAGAGGACTATAGTGCGGGACCCGGGCTGCAGTCTTACCCATGGCAGATTCACCCAGGAATACATCCAGGAACCACCGTAAAGCCCGGTTTACACACGTCAGTTAAAAGCCTTCGGCACAGAAGTCATCTCACGGTATTTCTGACAGCGGTGACATCTTAGAGAAAGAAGTGCCCTGCACGCATCGGAGTGATCGACATTCGACACCATGCATTGTTGGCAATATTCAAGGGCTAATCATTCCACTTTCTTCCTTCCACTGTAGGCATTTTGGATGATTGCTGGTGTCTCTTTATAGTCAGATCTGCCTGGTTTTGCCTGCTAATAACATCTTCGTCGTGAAGAGGACCACACCAGGGTTATTTAAATACTTGAAACGAGGAACAATTAAACCCTGGGCTGAAACATTAGTCTAGTGGGAGGTATAGGGTTACTTCCTTCAGTAACACACTCATCTACCCTCTCGGGTGAAGACCGTCTCTCAGAGGCTTAGGGACGTGGTTGTAAACACCGGCCGTGGACGCAGGCGCTGAGGGAGGACCCGCGGATGGACTTGGGATCTTGAAATGTTGGGTTTTGAAGAGCCGACCTTGGGCCAGAGGGTCATCGAGTGCCTGGAAGATGTCAACAGCCCCCGCTGCGGCTCAGACGCCTGGGGGGTGACCCGCACCCACTAGGATGCCTGGATGGTTCAAGAAGGTGTGGTACGGGCTGGCATCACTACTCAGCTTCGCCTCCTTCATCCTCATCATTGTTGCTCTGGTGCTGCCCCACTGGCTGAGTGGGAAGATCCTTTGTCAGACGGGAGTGGACCTGGTCAACGCCACCGACCCAGAGCTGGTCAAATTCATTGGGGACATTTACTACGGGCTCTTCCGAGGGTGCAAGGTGCGGCAGTGCGGGCTCGGGGGCCGCGAGTCCCAATTCACGAGTGAGTATGTTCGGGGCAGGAAAGATGCTTTAGATTCTAACACTTAATTTTCCAAATCGGGAAAGGTGCTTATGTCTAAATGTGGAGTTTGACTTCTGCCTCACCCTGAGACACAGTGACAAAATCCACACTCACCCAGGGGTTCTTGTTCAGCACTAAGAAGAGACCTTTTTTCCCCTGTGAACGCTCGTAGAAACATTAGAAATAGGGACTTGTATTCCTTTTCGTTTACCACT